TATGTAGTGATTTTCAGCGGAATCCCAGGGGTCCGGCGACCAAGTTACCCTTATTTCAGCGGAATCCTAGTGGTCCGGCGAATCTGTCGCTGGAACTTTGCTGCCCTCTAGCGGGAAAGTATTAGGTGTAGGGTTTAACGGATTGCACCACGCGACTCTACGCCCCAAGTTACCCCTATGTAGTGATTTTCAGCGGAAACCTAGGGGTCCGGCGAATCTGTCGCTGGAACTTTGCTGCCCTCTAGCGGGAAAATTATTAGGTGTAGGGTTTAACGGATTGCACCACGCGACTCTACGCCCCAAGTTACCCCTATATAGGGATTTTCAGCGGATTCCTAGGGGTCCGGCGAATCTGTCGCTGGAACTTTGCTGCCCTCTAGCGGGAAAAGTATTAGGTGTAGGGTTTAACGGATTGCACCACGCGACTCTACGCCCCAAGTTACCCCTATGTAGGGATTTTCAGCGGAATCCTAGGGGTCCGGCGAATCTGTCGCTGGAACTTTGCTGCCCTCTAGCGGGAAAAGTATAAGGTGTAGGGTTTAACGGATTGCACCACGCGACTCTATGCCCCAAGTTACCTCTATGTAGTGATTTTCAGCGGAATCCCAGGGGTCCGGCGACCAAGTTACCCCTATTTCAGCGGAATCCTAGTGGTCCGGCGAATCTGTCGCTGGAACTTTGCTGCCCTCTAGCGGGAAAAGTATTAGGTGTAGGGTTTAACGGACTGCACCACGCGACTCTACGTCCCAAGTTACGCCTATGTAGGGATTTTCATCGGAATCCTAGGGGTCCGGCGAATCTGTCGCTGGAACCTTGCTGCCCTCTAGCGGGAAAAGTATTAGATGTAGGGTTTAACGGATTGCACCACGCGACTCTACGCCCCAAGTTACCCCTATATAGGGATTTTCAGCGGATTCCTAGGGGTCCGGCGAATCTGTCGCTGGAACTTTGCTGCCCTCTAGCGGGAAAAGTATTAGGTGTAGGGTTTAACGGATTGCACCACGCGACTCTACGCCCCAAGTTACCCCTATGTAGGGATTTTCAGCGGAATCCTAGGGGTCCGGCGAATCTGTCGCTGGAACTTTGCTGCCCTCTAGCGGGAAAAGTATTAGGTGTAGGGTTTAACGGATTGCACCCCGCGACTCTACGCCCCAAGTAACCCTTATATAGGGATTTTCAGCGGATTCCTAGGGGTCCGCGAATCTGTCGCTGAACGTCAATGTCAATAATTCGCTAAGTATACAGACGTCGGTAATTCGCATCACAAACGGAATAGGATTAGCGTACAGTCATGGCGCAGTTGCGGCATTTACCGGGACGACTGAGCTAAATTTTAAATACTTATATCATTTGATAGGCTCAAAAACATTTAAAATTAACATGAAATCAAAAAATGAAAACAAAGTTTTCTTGTTTTAAGTCAGTGGGCACTGATTCGTCATGCAGCGACGGCAGGGTGGTCAGAAAAATTATCTATCAAAATATTTCATTCATTTTATTTCACATGCAAAGACTAAACCAAAATACCAACATTTTTTTGCTATTTTCTACGAGGCAGCCAATAAAAAAAATGCTTACTATTTTGCATTTTGACGCTTCCAGTCAGCAAAGAATAGTTCTTGTGAAATACGGCCCGAATCGTGTGCCTCGGACGTTTCGGTTACATGAGCGATCCGTTCCAAGTACGCACTACGCTAATTCGCATCAGCTCCCCAAGAACGCATTCAGTGCACCGACTACATGAGCAAATTCGTATCAGTGACGTCAAACGGATCTAGTTTGGCTCTCGGCCCGATGCGCATTACAAACGGAATAGCATACAAATGTGGCGCACTTCCGTAGCAATAGAGGTGACTAAATTAAAAATTTATTATCTTATGTCTTTTTTGCATTTAATCTGCTCAAAACATTCTCAATTAACTTAACAAAAAAAGTTGAACATTAAGTTGTCTTGCTTTGACTCATTGGGCAATTGCCTCTCTTGATTCGTCTGTAGTGCTGTCAGAAAAATGTTTCAACTGAAATTATGTGGATATTTACTATTTGGTTTTCACAATATTTATTGTTGAAAACTTGACAAAATACCGACATATTTTTTAAAATATTATTTCAAAAGAAGAAAATGAAAAAATACCTATTATTTTGCATTTTAATGTTTCTTTTTGCGAAGAAATAGTTCCTGTAATACGTATCTTGGTCCTATTCGCTTCTAAGCCTCTTTCCCAGCGGATTTTGTTCGGACCGCCGATTCGTATTAGCAGGTGGATACATGAGTCGGTAGTACGCTCCTGATTCGCATTAGCGGTGAATCCGATCGTGATACGTATTTGCTTTGCTCATGTAACCGCGGATCGGATCGCCGATTCGTACTAGCAGGTGGCTACATGAGTCGGTAATGCGTTCCTAATTCGAATTAGCGGCTAAATACGTATTTACTGTGCTGATGTAACCCCGATAAATGACCGGTGACCTCGCTCCCCTCGGGAGTTGGACTCGCCCTACCCCGACCGTAGCGCCACGTGGTGGCTCTGGAGATCTTAAATAGACCCACTGTACATATACGGCTATATGAATACCTATGTAGTACCTACCTACATGAATAGGTATATACCTAACAATGACTGCACAACTTGATTAATTTATTATGCTGTAGTAAGTTACAAGATAATAATGTTTCAGCAGAACGAGGCTTTACCTATATTCCCCAGGAATTCAGCATAATTCAGTAATAAACAAGCCTTCAACTCACCACGGCCAAGAGGGAGCACCACGGGTGCAATCATACAAACACATGCTAAAATGCATCTAAACCATAAGGTACTGGATATTTGTACCTATTGAGTTTTAACTGACTACTGCTGAGTGGTTCTGCAGCCCAGCAGGCCGGTGGCTGAGGCAGACGGAGAGGTGACCCAGTAGCTGTGAACGACGTTCAGTCGACAAGGTTCTCTCCCCAGCGGAAGCCACCCTCGTACCCCCAACCGGCGTCGAACTGCACCAGCCGGAAGTCGACGTTCTCCACGTTGCAGCACATGTGCGGGCCGTCGTAGTTGATGGTGAACGGCGCGCCGACCTGGTGCTCCATGAAGGGCTCGGTCTGGTTGTCGCGGTACACGCGGATCGCCTGCGGGCTGAAGTAGATCCGGAACCGGCGCAGCTCGGTGGCGCTCAGGATGGCCGGCGTGGCCGTGTGTGAGTAGGACTGCCAGCCCACGCTGGACACGTGCCGGTGGATGGCGCTGTGCGTGTTGTCCCAGCCGCCGATAATCACCTTCCAGATGTTTGAATTGTGCCAGGTGGTCTGCTCGCGCGCCATCCAGTTGCAGTCGCGCTTGATGCGACACTCGAACTCCACCCAAAAGTCCTGCTCGTGCCGGCGGCGCGCGATCATCGTGTCGCGCGGGATTGAGTAGACGCGGCCGAGGCTCCAGTCGCCGAACCATGGGTCCACCAGGTCGCCGGCGAATCGGAAGTAGCCCGCAGTCCTGCCCGACGAGCGTACAGCCAGGTATTTGGGCTGCAGAGGGCTGGCGTCGTTCCAGGAGAACAGAGTCGTTGTGCCGAGTCCCTTTGAGACACGCAGCTGACCACTGCACCAGTTGAAATTTATCCGAACGAATCGACTGTCAGTCTCCAGCGTCTTCGAAACGGTGCCAAGATGTTGGCTGGAAACTCCGTATTCATAGCGACAAACATAGATGTTTGTCTGGCTAATCTTCAAAATGTACCGTCCTGTGTAGTGTGTGTATGCCTCAAACACGCCTATTTGTACCGTGCCGGTACTCTTGATCCGGAAGTCGGTGGAGCACATTCCGTTGACGATCTTTTTCCAGACCCACGACTGTCCGTCGGTGAAGAATGTCTTGTACCGGGGCATGCAGAGGGTCTCGTTGTACCGCCAGTAGGCGTTGCTGCAGCTGCAGACCAGCTCGCTGCAGTTGGTGACGCCGGTGACGAGCGGCTGGCACTGCTGCGTGTGCCGGCATCCCTGGCCCAGCCGGCGCAGACACGACTCCCGGCAGCGGCCGTCGCGCACGCAGGCCTCCTGCGACCACAGCGTCTGGCCGGACTCGGCCGACAGGTCGTCCACCACGTCGTAGAAGGTCCAGCCGTCGGCCGGCTCGACGATGTAGCTGCTGGAGTCGCAGGCGGTCACGGTGAACACCTGGCAGTGGCCGGTGCCGGGGTGGAAGTTGAAGCTGCGGCAGCCGGTGCGCTGATGACAGGCCAGCTGACAGCGCTCCTGACTGACAGCGGACAGGGTCTCGGCCGGGGTGGCGCCGACCAGCCGCCGTCCCTGACCTCGCCGGCCGCTGGCCACAACCGCAGACGCTGGCACTGAGAGCACCGTGACCACCAGCACGACCAACAGAGGCAGCAGGTGAACTGCGCCAGCACACAGGGATCGCATAGCTGCTCAGTTACGGACAAATCCTGCTCCGGACCGATCCCGCTTCACGAATACCAGTTGAGAACGCAGTCCAATCCACAAAAGACAGGGGCTAACAGCCGCAACGACGACAACTGAGCAGCCAACCTCTCGCTGCAGCGGTACTCGCCGAGTGTTCTCTGCCCTCACCAGTCCGAGGCACTCCTGCCAGCGCGGCCAGCACTGGCCAGGCGCCCGTTGTGACCTCCCGGTCGCTGTCCCCTCCGGTCGGTGGCCGACCCGTCACTGTGGCTGGCAGGAGTGCGTTGTGTGTGTGCGTCGCGACTCACGTGACACTGTGAGTACCGTCACATGCCCGGTCATCAGTGCTCCGTAGTGGATGGAGTCGCTGTCGATGGCATCGTCGGACAGACGCCCCGCTTATGGCGCTTGTTTACTACAGCGCGCTATGGACACGGGCTGCGTAAACGACACCGGCTGCACCTCTGGCTCATTGTCAATGCATGTGTGTGAGATCGAGGACATACGTCCTGGTTGTAATTGCCCCGGACATCGCGCACTCTGGCAATTTAGCTGTCGCTTTTATTTATTTTAATTAAAAGTTGCAATCTATCACGCTCGTCTTTGATTTATTTCATAGTTGCCCGGATACATGGAAAATAAACACACAAGCTTTGTATACGCATGGACCTTTATACCTATACCTACTACCGCTCCATACTGCACGCAATGGTCTATGGTAAGGTCACTGGTCAATGAAGCTGATAGTGTAACGCGAGTGGGTGCGTTTCTACCACATAAGCGCTTATGAGTGGACCAAGATGGTCTGCCATGCTTCAACATCATTTGGCCAGCAATTATCATACACATGTGAGCATGTACGTACTAGTGGTGTCAATCGGAACTTGAATCTTCGGAATTCCGATTTTGTCCAATGTCCAACTCGGAATTCGGTTGGACAATGACAGCAGGCTTTGGACAATTTTGGACAATCGCTTGCTACACCTCAACATTTTTATAAAGTAAGCGTATTTAACATTGATTGGCTATTAGAAAGCTCAGCTTTCGATATGATTGCCACTTTTGAGCTGGTAACGATACATTAAAAGCAAATTAAATAGCGATGTTGAGTGTAAACTATTGCGTAGATGTCGGACATCTTTGGACAAATGGCTGGCTTGGACATTTTTGGACGGACAGTCGACGTAAGTATTGGACATTGGACGGACATTGGACATATGTTTTCTGAAATTGACATCACTAGTACGTACACCGTACATTTCAGACAGACGGCACGGCTCACCATAACCGTGGTAAGCACCGCGCCCCTCCGAGTCCGTGCAGACTGCGCCGCTCACCAGAACCCCCAGGAGCCGCTGTCGGTGTCGCCGGCCTGCTCTGAGTGCTCGTGGCAGCTGTCCCCGCGGTGGCCGGCCGACACCCAGCGCCCCCCGGACCGGCACAGGCCCGGGCACCGGTAGTGGGCGCAGCACAGCGGGAACTCGCCGCGCGACTCGTCCTGCAGCATCACCTCGCAGTCAAGCGACGGCGGCGGACCCAGCGGCTCGCACGTCTCGTCTTCCACGTAGATCGTGCCCGACAAGCCCAGCTGACACGATTTCTTCACGCACGGACTCTCGGTCCAGTGGCTGCCCCCGCTGAACTGGCGTCCCAGCTGCTCCGAGTAGCAGGCGTCGCAGGCAAAGCGCGGGCAGCAGCGCGGGAAGGTGGCCGTCGCGTCGCCGTCGCTGATCCGGCGGCACTCGGCCGCCATGGGGCACGAGAACAGGTAGGTGCTGCCGTACCTGCAGTGGGCCACTCCGCCACAGTCGGCCAGCAGCCACTGCTCGCCGTGGGCGCGACTGATGTTCCTGTCGGCGTCGTAGCAGCCCTCGGCGGAGAGCGAGCCGATCCTCGCCGAGACCAGACAGGCGAGCAGCAGGACGTGCCGTCCCGCCAGCCGGAGAGGCTGTAGCGACAGCGACATGGCGGCCGGCCGGCGCTACTGGTGGTCACTCGGCGCCGGTCCCGCGGCTATATACCCGAGTGTGGAGTAAACACAGCCTTGTCCGCCGTCCGGCAGACACCGCGGAATGGCCCGTGTTTATATATTCGCCTTATAGGCGGGGGAAGGGGGGGGGGGGTGGAGTCAGACACTTTTGGCTCTGCGTGCCGTCAACTGTGAAACGTTTATTTCTTTAAAGGTAGTGTGCCACCTTTGAAAGATTTCCCATTTTATTTTTCCTAGGATAAGAAGCTTCTGTTTTTACCTAATATCGCAAAAAAAAAATCAAAAATGGGCCTGGAATAGTGCCTTTTTCGCCTAAAAGTTTATCGGTTTTTAGATATGTATAACAACTGTAGTGGGCTCACCTGCAAACAGGCGTCGGGCAACAATCGCGAATGCGGCGCACTTGTGACAATAAGCAAAGGTCATTATAGTGTTACGACCATACGACGTACGGGAATGAGTTATCAGCTGTCTAATCGTAGACAACACAATGTCGAGCCTTAAACTGTAAGCCCGTATTGGTATTGTTTCTTTTATTTGGCTGTCGAACATTATTTATGGTTTGAAATATGATTTTATGTAAAATAATTGATATGAAAAAGCCGTCTTATAAGTTATGACCCCATTTCACCACACGCAAGTGGCAGAAATGACAATGATCAGCTGACGCATTTTTCTTGGCCGAAGTCAGAGCGCGCGGCCCGACCACTGCACTGGGCCCGACGCACCACGCGTATTTGGAAATTCCGACCTCGACGAGCATCAGAAGCCACCTAACAGGCGTGTTCGAAACCGCAGGAGATGATGATGAACGGGTTTATCGAAACTTGATTGGATGAGCATATCGGTAATAGCGATTTCAGTGTGTGCATTTATTGTTCATAGTGGTGTGAAATGTGGTTGGGGTACGACCGACAACCCGTCGGGGCGAATTTCGCACTGGGGTACTCAAAATTTGAAGAATTTAAGACGTTTCCATGAGTTTTGAAGGTATGGATAAGTTCTAAAAATCCGGTTCTCCTTATCTGGGCCATTAACTCCATACGGTCCAAGAAAGCTGGCACACTACCTTTAAGGGGAATCCCCTCGGTTTTCAGGAATAACTCACGCGAAAAAAACCGCTGTCACTGAGAGCGGGCACTACACTACACTGCAATGGGACCTAACCTTACTTCTGGGAGGGTGGTTAAAACTGGTTGCGGATATGGATACACGCGAGAAACCGGTTTACATACACGCCGGCCTCGGGTTACCAGACAGGTAACCCCGGCCACCGCAGACAATTCAGGAAGCATCCATACTCCCATAGTTTTACTGACTGGCCCTTGTCTTGCAGGCACCGCATGTGTGCCGTACCCTAGGAATCTTGGCCGTACCATTTTCGAAACGACTGATGTAATCCCATACGGCAAATCGGCTGGTGGACGGTGGTGGTTTCGTATCGATCGATCAATCGACGATCGGCCCAGGACTTCCTGAGTTATAGAATGGCTGCAACAAGCGAAAACGCTCATGTGACCTCACGGGGTCACCCGAGGTCACCTTATTTACAACGGTTCATGAAATCCCATTAGGCGAATCGACTGGTGGTGTTTCCGTCTCGATCGGTTCAGTACTTCCTGAGCTATAGAATGGCTGCAATAGGCGAAATCGTCAAGTTGACCTTTCAAGGTCACCGATATCACCTGAGGTCTGCATATTCGAAATAGCTGATAAAATCACAGACGCTGATTCGAATGATGCTAAGATTGCCCCGACCAACGAAGTGGTTTTTATGTTATAGAAGGGCTGCCAGGGTGGCGGTCGATTAGTGTTGTCCCGTCTCCCGTCCTACTGCACCCACCACGTTACCATGGCAACCGATGAAAACCGCGCAAAGCCGCGGCGGCCGCGGCGGATCCCTGGCGGATCCCGCCCAACTCCGATCCCGATCCCGCCTATATACGGGCTTGGCCCAACTTATATGGCCCTGCCCTTGCCGCCCATTGCGCATTGCGTCAGCGGGGAAAACGTATAAGGCCTTGGAAAGCGTGTGTAGAGCTCGCGGGGAGCAAGGCCCTACTAAATAGCGTAAACTTGTGGAGTGAGTGGAAGTGGTCGTGGTGTAAGTCAATATACCTACCCCTGGGCCCTGGTGGGATTAGTAGCTTTTATTCGCGAATTACCTCTCGCTTGCGCACACCTGAGGCCTGTTTCACTAAAAACTTGCGATTGCAAGTGTTTGAACTTTACAATTCATAAGTATTTTTGCAAAGTATGTAAAATCCGCTTTCACTTAACTTCACCACCATTGGCACCTTCGATAAAAGCAAGGCCCTCTAGGCTCTAACCGATAACACCGATAAGAGCAAGGCAGTATAGTATAGATTGGTATGTACCTAAGATTGGTATATCCAAGGCCATATATAGTGGTATATCTGTAAGAATCTTGGGTATAGGGTATATAGCCTTGGTATAGGGTGTACCTAGACTGTAGATAAAAGGCTTTGGAAGCAGTGAAATAAGTGAAGTTGTTTACAATCAAGAAATATAAAATGTTACCGATGTGGTATGTGTTTATCAAATTATGTCTAGTTTTTTTGTCAAAATTTGCATGATTAAATTATATGTAATGAAGTTGTTGCAAAATATTTTAAATGATAGTTCACAATATCTTATTATTGAATGAAAATAGCACGCAAAATGTTTTACAGCAGAAGACTGTTGAATGCAATTATGGCGCGCGAATGACAAAACATGACGATATTTGAAGATTGGCCTGGTTCGCGCCTTGGGTTCGCTGTTATTACTTTATAGGTATCGCTGTTTCTTTGTATCATAGGTATCTTGGTTATTACCCAATTATTACCGCTGTTATCGCTGTTATACGGTTATACGGTCTTGGGGTTCGTACCAAGATACCTATGTTCCTACTTTGCTAGTTTTTGTAGGGACGTGTAAATGGGTTTATAGGAATTTTGCTAAGTAAAAATGAGCATAAAATGTTTCAGCATAGCATATTTGTTTGTTCAAATAGTTGATAACTGATTGCATTATTGCACAAAAAGTAAAATTCCGAACGTCAGGGCAGGCCACTGGAATTTCCGGTTTGTAAGTACATACTACATACAACGTTTTCTTCCAAGTTTGTGGTCTTCGTGAAACAAAGTTTGCGATTTCGATATTTCTTACAGTTTTTTTTTTCTTGTAAAATAGTCCGTAAATTGTAAACTCAAAATTCATGCTCGGAAGTTTCGTGAAATCCAAATCAAATCCCTAATGCTGGTAATTATTTCTTTAAAACTCAAGTTTTTTCTTTGTAATTGAAAACTTTATTTGTTAGTGAAACAGACCTCTGTATAACATTTCGAGTTCGGTGTTTTACAAGGGCATGCTGTTGCTGATACGGCCCGGGCGCGGGCCCCCGAAGTCATTGAGTTTTACGCAGCGTAGACTATAGATAGGGACTGAGACGGGAGGCATAAAGGCTCCGATGAGCCTGTTTTGCGAGGCCTCTCCGATCCCCTTACCAGTGAACCTAAATGCATGTTTTATTTCAACTGATGTGTGATCCGGTGTACGACCTTGGGTCGCGCCCGTGGTATGTGTGAGGTGTGGGCGTAAAAGCATACCTGAAGGCTGGAGGTTGACCTGGGTCGCTCACTTATAAATAGATATCAATTGATCTTCGTCAACGGTTCCCGCTGAAGTCTGCTACCGCAGGACGATGTGAAATGATCTTGCATTACCTCCGCACCGGTGAGTCCGTATGACCACATGCTCTAGTAGTCTTGGTATGACCGATGACGGCTGGCATTTGCATGATATTTTTGAAATGGTAAGCATTAAGCAATAAGAAGCAAGGTGTTACAAGCTTCAAATTGTCAAAAAATGTCGATCTTTCATGTTGTTGTCTTTCATTGATTCAGTAGTTGATCCCGTGGGTCAAAATGCGTCCTGATGCGTTGTGTCGTGCCAAAATGTTCGTTTTCATTTGACTCATATTACCTCGCAAAAGGTGTCGAGCAAGAAAGTCAAAGCAATTACCCAAATGTCTCTTGACTGTACGTCGACATTGTTGCACCTAGTCGTAAACATTGGCAAAACACCTAGGCTGGTTCATGCGCTCATTGCTCATGAATCATGATTGCTCGTGCTTACTGCTTTCAGTTCTCTTGGGATGGGACCCCGCATTTGTCACGATAAAAACGGATATTCATATCTTCACAACCCAATCAACTCTAACACCTCCCACTAACACTATGTTTCAGAGCAACCATAAGCATTGCTGTTCGGTGACAATCGGCCCATGCAACACCGAAAATGACGTCAGTTACGAAGACCATAACAACAACCAAAAAGGTTGTACCATCCAGAGCCTTGGATTTTGTGTATGGTAAGAGATGAATGAATGGACAACATCACTGGGCGAGTACATCAACTTCACGCTTGAAAATGTATGTTCAGGTGCATGATTGTGCGATATTGATTGCAGTTTATCGGCGGGCTTACTTCAAGGGATACCTATGAAGCCGTCCGTGATGCGTTAAACCGTTTTAAACTTTAACGTTGCATAGAATTGTAGAAGCTCTTACGTCCCGCTTACAGGTATCGCTTTTTACATTATGTACACGGTACCCTCACGGCTCAGATATTGTTTTGCGTTGCACTGTATTGCAAGTTACGATAAGTCGAGGCACAAGACGCGGACATCACCTCGTGTATATTTCCAGATCCGTTGTATGTTGTATCCAGTGAGAAGGAGCAGAAGAAAGAAGCATACCATGCAACTCTTCAGATATCCAGACTGGTGAGTCTTATGGCTATTGTATTCCTTTTTCAGAAAAGCAAGGAGAAGTTACATAGACTCCGTTTTTAAATTGCCTTTGCCATAAACAACACTTTTCTAGGAGAATGTGCCATCTTCAAGTGATCCAGAGCTTATTTTATCGCAATATTGAGCACTTTTCACCACGTTGTTGGCAGCGATGACTTATTCTAACTTCAGTCAATCAATACCAATGGAAAAAGGAATGTTCAATAATTGCCTGGTATTTGATGCTGTATCGACCACGTCAAGGTGAATAATATCTCTTGATTACAGCAATGTGTGCCGAACTTCGAGTGCATGTTTAGCACCCTGCCGAACTACCAAGGCTATTCGTGGCAGCTGGTTCGCAAGACGTTCCCCCCACCGAAGCCGGACTATAGGATCACGTAAGTGGTACCGTTGTTTTATTGTACCCTGGCGTACTGAGACTGAATGGGTACAAAACAGAAACTAGTAGTTGTAGAAACAATCGTTTCGAAATTTCGATATTTGGACGTTTGTTTATGATCACTTCATGCTTAACCCTCGCCGAACCCACCTGATGTTATCAGCGTGGATCACAGATCATTTACGTTATGAGTGCCGATTTACCAAGCATATGACCGTGCGGCTGTTATGAAATGCGATTATATTGAAATGCGATATATGATTTTGTTGCCATTTTGCAGACAACAGCAACAGGCGAATAATGATCCAGAGATCACGGGCAAAAACCGCTTCAAATACTTCAATGTGTAAGTAAATGCCGGTTGTGGTAGCGCATCCGTTTCACATCATATTTGACGTCCCAACCGCCAGATAAGACTCATACAGTCCATGCATTGTGCTTCGATTCGAAGATGCTGGTTGCCTTTTTAGAGTTAACCAACTTTTATAGATGCATTTTCCAGCGTCGCAAGCATGATAATCCACGATAGCCCAGCGCCGGGTGCAGTAATGTTGCTCATGCTACGAAAATATCGTCGTTGAACACAACTTGCTTCGATCCTACAAAAATGTGGCATCACTGACGTACTCATCCTCTGCGCGCAGCATGCTGCCGGCTTACCAGCACGCGGTGCTGCCGGCCGGCCTGCACCTGGCGGCGGCTGGCGCCGGTGACAGCGCCGCCCAGGTCGCCGCCGCCCGGCAGGTGTCGGCGGCGGCCGAGGCGGCGGCGGCGGCCGTCAGCCCCCCGGCGGCCGCGGTGCGCAGCCGCGGCACGCAGACCGACTATCGCGAGTCGGAGGCGCAGACGGAGCCGTACTCGCCGCCCTACAGAGTCGTGGACGGCGACTGGGCCGAGGAGCTCACCGTGGCTGCCCTCTCCTGGGGTCAGTCACCGGGCCAGGCAATGTTTCTGTTGGTATAGGACAGTGGGCGGCGGAAGGTGGCATAAATCTCATGATAATTCATTGTTTAGATTTTAACGTCGTTCAGTGTTAATTTCTGAGCGCCGCCCCGTTTTTTGCTCTTTAGTATTGTTTGCCGGTTCCGATATCTTTCAATATGTTTCAGTACGTACCCCCCTGCAGCTAATCACCAATGACCTGCGTCTTTCCTCGCGCCGTGTCCTGCTTGACACCGTCAGTCGGGTTAACTAACCCTGGGATTGTGGGGCAGGTCACGGCCTTCCGGCCGGCCAGGCCGAGGTGGAGATGATCGAGCGGCTGCGCAACCGGCGCTGCTGGGGCGAGACACTGCCGCCTACCGGCGACCGCTGCTACGGAGAGCGGCGCATCAAACTTATCGAGAGCATCGAGCGCCAGGAGTGGGTCGTCCGCGAGGCGGAGATCAGCCAGATTCAGGCGAGTGCTGCTGGATGGAAGTCTGTGTAGGATGACTGGGGATTGGTGATCTGTTCTGTCCATTGTCAGCTCAATTGGCCAACCTGACCTTAGTCATCGTAGCTGCAGACACAGTCATCAAATGTTCATGACGATCGTCACGTTTTGCTGTAACGCTGCAGCCTGACATCGCGCTATAATTCCGTTATCTGAGATTCCTCTGAGATCGCACACTGCTCGGCGCCGGTCTGAGCGTGTCTGGCCGGCCGGCAGGCGCTGCGTCTGGAGCTGATGAAGCACCTGCTGAAGGAGCAGGAGGACCGGCGCAAACAGCGTGTGACCCGTCGGCTCGACAAGCGCTGGAAGATCCGCGTCGCCGAGCGGGACACGCAGATCCTCCGCATTCAGTCCCAGTACGCCAGAGGTCAGTCATGGCCCACGACGATAGCGATGTTTGTCGTACGACAATTTCATGATTATCATTCACGTCTAGAAACACGTTGTTGTTTTGACCGATGTTGGTATTCTATTCCCCAAACATTTTTTTGCCTGATTCTTCGCAAGCGCTTCGCCTGTCATTCTTTCCATTCATTCATTTTCTCTCCGCCATCCATTAACAAAGAATAGACATCTATTCAATTCACATCTACTCGGTACCATTTTGAGATGCTACTTTAACGCCAAAATCCCCGCCCATTTATCCAGACACGCGTCGCCTGCGTCGCTGGAAGGAGCACAAGCTCGGCCAGGCTTCGGGCCAGCAGCGCGACATAATCGCCGAGTACGACACTCCCGGCTCGACGGCGTTCGCGCCGCTCACCCGCCAGGGGGCGGACATCGACCACCTGCGCGGCCAGCCCCGGCGCCTCCAGCTGCCCTATCTGGAGACGAGACGGGGTACGTACTCAGCTACCGGGGCGTGACTGGCGACTACAGGGACATGGGTTACCTGTGATGGATGCGTCTAATGAAACAGGAACTGGATGGAGTGAGGGGTCGTTTGACTTTATCCGCTTAGGCAGGCATGCTTAGCTGGTCTATCACGCAACTTTGTAACCCTTACAGCATGCTAAGCGCAAAAGCGGTTCGTGGAGCATACAATAATACGATGGTTGCTGGCTTGATTGTGATATGCGGTTACGATCTTTTTACTAGTCATGCGACTGAAAAAATATTACTTGCCTATCGGTTACGATCTTTTTACTAGTCGTGCGACTGAAAAAATATTACTTGCCTATAATTGTCTTGTTGATATAGGATCGATATTTTTTATATTTTTAACGACGACACTAATTTTCTGTCGTTATTTCTTTCCGCTGACGGGATTCAGTGATCCCATTAGCTGAAAGTCACCTCACCGTGCCCGGCTGACGCCTGACACTGTCCCGCCCCTGCCGTCCGTCCGTCCGTCCGTCTGTGTCGGCCGGCAGGCGTGGAGACGCTGGAGGAGGTGTACGGCGAGCAGCTCACCTCGCCCGTGATCCGGATGCCCGATCTGCCCGTCAGCCACCTGATCGAGCAGCGCTACTCGCGCAAACACCTGCTGCAGAAGGAGCTGCTCGACGTGCACAGGATGATCAAGGTCAGCGACCGCTCGGGTGGCAGACGTGCAATGTAGGCGGTCCTAAACACAGTGGTGCGGATCGACGAGGCACATAGTTTGATAAATGGTTTGATAAGCCTAAAGGCTGCCGCGTATAACTGCAACAACCTAACTGTTCATTTATGTTTAAGAAGCGGAAATTATGAAGCATGATAAGACTACGGAATACACTTCTACCAGAATATTAATCAATAATCATTTCATGCACAATAATACAACGAAGTCTCCGGTTCTATAACGCATTTTTGCGACAGGTGGGAATCGGCTAGGGAAGGGGAGCTTTGACGTGTCGACTGGGTGACGCTATCAGCGCTGTATAAGGGTACAGTGTGGTGTATCTGACCTTTCTGTACCGTCTGACCGTCCTGCTCCTGACAGGCGGAGCAGGAGCTGGCGGCGGCCGGCACCGAGTCGACCTCTCCGCGCTTCCTGGAGAAGATAGAGCACCCGCCGCCGCGGCCGGTGACGCCCACGGTGGCGGCGCCGGACGCGCAGGACTGCGACCGCAGCCAGGCGGCCATCTGTCTGCAGCGCATCCTCAGAGGCCGGGCCGTCCAGATCCGGGTGAGGCGCCGGCCGGCCGCAGAGGCGAAAATGTGGTATCTGTCAAATAATATGAGCCATGCAGTACCCACTGTGATATTAGTCTTTACGATTTATAGGGGTCAAATCCATGTACCAGAGGTGTAACGTTAGCAACTGACGGGGCAGAACGGGGTCGTGGCCTTTGCCTCTAAAACACAGCACTGGACTGACATGCTCGGACTAGACTTTGCACAATAAGGGACACCTGATGATTGAACGTGAAACATAAAGCAGGTTACTGTAGGTAGTCATCACTCATGAGTCTTTACCTTCTGGCCTGCCCGTCACTGTGGATCCCGTGCCCGCGTCCACCTCTGACCTGTCGCCTCTCTCTCTCTCTCTCTCTCTCTCTCGCTCTCTCTCCCTCTCTCTCTCTCTCTCTCTCTCTCTCTCTCGCTCTCTCTCCCTCTCTCTCCCTCTCTCTCTCTCTCTCTCTCTCTCTCTCTCTCTCTCTCTCTCTCTCTCTCTCTCTGTCTCTCTCTCTCTCTCTCCCTCTCTCTCCCTCTCTCGCTCTCTCTCTCTCTCTCTCTCTCTCTCTCTCTCTCTCTCTCTCTCTCTCTCTCTCTCTCTCTCTCTCTCTCTCTCTCTCTCTCTCTCCTCTCTGTTCCCGGCCAGATGGAGCGCGGCGTGGAGCGTCGCTACGACCTGATCCAGGAGCTGCGCGGCACCCACGCCCTCCAGAATACCGCCATGGAGGAGAAGGGGCGCGACCAGCGGCGCACGCTCTGCATGCAGCGCATGCGCGACGTCGCTGGAAAACAGGCGAGTTCACGGCGGTCACCAAAGTACTGCCTGCAATACATGACTGTGCGATATTGGGGATGACAGAGAACCGATGGCTTTTAGAATTGGAAGTGCAAACTAGGCTAAGTTTAATGAACCTGCCTTAACCCGCGCGGGGCTGGGGGGTAAATTTTACCCCCCCTCGCGAATTTTTGCAATATCTCAAAAACGGCGGCGCGCAGCGCCGCCAAGCTTTCAGTACCTTTTCTTACATCAATTTGACACGTTTCCTGAAAATCTGAGCGAAATCCGTCGGAAAATTTTTGAGAAATTGACGTTTTAGTGACGTCATGTTCGCCAATTTCGCCTCAAAAACGGCAAAATTTCAAACGCTGCTAACATCTTCATTTTTAAAGGAATCAAGACGTAACAAAAAAGTTTATACGTAATTCTACTTTGTCTATCAAATGGCTATCTCGGTTTTTTTGAAAGTTTTGGATTTTGGCCCAAATTTTCCAAAAAACTGACTTTTTGGGGAAAATAATTATAAAATCCAAAATTTTGAGTGTATCGAAAAACCGGAATATATGTCAGAGAAGTGGTCTATGTGCACCTACATACCAATTTTTAGAAGAATCGGTTCAAAAATGTGGGAGTTATTAAACATTTTATGACGTCACGACACACAAAAAAATTGAAAAATGATTTTTTTTGGAAGTTCTAGACCTCGTACGGAAACAAAAAGAGCACCATTCGATTCGCCGTGAAAAACTGCATCAGATAGACACCTTTGTAGGCCTTAACAACCAACTTCAAAATTTGACCTCACTTGACCTGACCTTGACCTGACCTCGACCTGAAATTCATCCAGAGGTGGTCCATATCACTTATTGAGTGTGCCTATTGAGTTCTATGAGTAAAATGACCCATAAAACATGTGTCGCACATGCCCTTTTCTATATTTTGTTTTTGGTGACCTGACCTGACCTGACCTGACCTTGACCTTGACCTCTGAATGATATTGTATGCAACGAATATTGTCTTGGTAGCCTAAGAACACGTTTTGGGCAATCAGTCTCAGTCCATGACTCCATTCTTCGGCAACTACGGTGCAAGGCCGATACTGTTATAGGAACTTGCAATTTGTACCCCTGACCTGACCTTGACCTCAAACTTTAAATTAAGTACATGTTTTTAGTTGTTCGTGATGAGATCTTTCGATTGGCGTTTGAATTTTCCAAATCGGAGTATCAGTTCGGGAGATAACAGGGGGGTAAAATTTACCCCCCCCCCCCCCCAGCCCCGCGCGTTCGGCTGGAGACCCCAGCCCCGCGCGGGTTAATTGGTCGACATGCATGTCTGTTCATTATTTCGGAACGACAGTCACAATCGAATTACAACAGTTACTTTGGTGTCGTTTATGACACAGAAAAGACTGACAGGTATAATGCAGCATATTCCCATGAATCTCTCACAGGCAGGCAATGTATCTCACTTACGCCTTCCCCCACAGGACCAATATGTGGACGAGGCCCTGAGCCGGATAGAGGGCGCCACGGTGGCCCGCCTCCTGGACCAGCTGAGTAACGAGCTGATCCGACTGCAGGTCAGTAACTAACCATGTGGACCGAAGGGCACCCGATGCCGCAGCGGTAGACGGTGCTGGTCAAAATGGCGAACTCTTACTGTCACCACCCCTCCATAGGGGTTCGGTACCAGTGTGCAGGGCTCGCTATTAGTGACAGGAGCTGCAGCTGCGACACTGTGCCACCTATCTCTTGTGATAATCACTACGTTTCCATGACACGTCTAAATCGATTTAGCGAAATTTCACGTGCGTTTTTCTGGGAAACTATTTACTTTATGCAAAAAATGAGCGTACATATGGTTTTAGCTAGCACCTAAGTTACATTTTTAAATTATTCCTAAATGCCATGATGGAGCAAATCCATTTTTCAAAATCGGCTTAGCTTGTGCCATGGAAACGTAGCCAATGTGTCACATCACGTCACATTAGGTCATGATGACCTTAAATGTTCAGTAACACTCGCTGCTCAGTGAAGTGTAATCTGATATAACGCAGTGGCAACGCACTCTACGTCTGGTCAATCGCAGACGCAGTCTCAGTCTGGTCAATTTAATGATGTCTGGACGCGTGCTAATGCCCACTTTTGGTCACATTAAGCAGACTACTTTTATATCAGAGTGGCTAATTCTGCGGTGATTTTGACGGAATGTCACCCAACGCCCGCTGTGTGACCCCACGTACCCGTCTGCGGCGGCAGGAGGAGCGGCGCATCCACGCGTTCGTGCTGATGGCCGAGCGCGAGCGGCAGCGGCGGGAGGCGGCGGAGGCCGGCCTGCGGCAGCGACAGCTCAGGAGACGCCGGGAGATGGACGAGATATTCAAACGGGTAACGCCAGTCGCCAAGCAGATTATCGTTATGCGGTGGATAGCACGACGTGTATCGTGACAAGTTTGTCGCGCAAATCGATATCTTTCATCGATGAGAAGCTAACTAGTTCGAGTAAATGACGCCAACGTGCTACGCATTACGGATGAATGTGATAGTCCTCAAACAATTGGTGCGATCGACAATCTTCCATTGTCTGGAGTGATTCAAGTGAACAGCAAACGCTACTAAACAATTATAAACATCACATCCACGCACAAATCTGCCTGACTGACCCCCTGTCTCTGTGGCTCGCGCAGACGATGAAGGTGCACCAGCAGTCGGTGGACACCTACCTGGAGGACGTGATCCTGGAGTCGACGGAGCGCACGGCCGACCAACAGGCGCGGCAGCACGTCCGCGAGCTGGCCGCCCACCTCAACGACATCGTCCACGACCTGGAGCAGCAGTGAGTGCACGGACGGGGCCGCCAGCTGCGGCTGCCTTTTGTTAGATTAGGTCAGATGCGGTTGATATTCCATCACCATTCTCATCACTGGTCAGATATTTTTTCTTGGAAACAAACTAGATGGTTGCGATGTCACATGTTATTGATCATTGGGCTACTCAAAAGATCAATGATCAATACGACTGGTGATGGTGGATTTAGTTTTTTTTAGGGATAGGTGTTTGGGGTTCACATTGCAAATTGCATTTTCCTCTAACTGCATTATTTTTTTCACGCTACATTTGATTACGGAGCGAGCGAAGCGAGCGTAGTCTTTCCTTAGATTAACGGAAATTTCTGAGTATGAGCGGCCGGCCGGCCGTGGTCACGATTCTGCGACGCTTATATCTCAGCAACCACTTGACCGATTTACACGCGGTAATTTTTGTAGGGTAGCTTCATTCCTTCTACCAAGTATTGGACTATTCCCGATGCATGTGGGTGACCCCTTATGCACGTGCCACGTGCAAAACGAAGAGGTGTCACTTTTGTAATTGTTGCAATATCTCGGTAACTACTTGGCCGATTGCGCTGAAAGTTGGCATGTAGGTAGGTACCCACTAGGCAATGCATATCCATGTGCCAGAGTTGGGGTGCTGCTGCACGTGCGCACGTGCAGGGGTCGATTCCAGATCTCGAGAACGGCTGGACCGATGGCGCTCAAATTTGGCACATGGTTAGGGACCGGTTAGTAGGGTGCCGTGCAAAAGTCAGTTGGGACCCATTTTGCACGTGCGCACGTGCAGGGTGCCGCTTCCAGATCTCGAGAACGGCTGGGCCGATTGTGCTCAAATTTGGCACATCGCTAGAGACCGGTTAGTAGGGTGCCGTGCACAAGTCAGCTGGAGGTACCCCCTCGAAATTTCGCACGTGCAAGGCTCACCCTCTCGCTCGCTCCGTTAGTCGCCCCAAAAGGCGTTATACTGGTATGTAGTGTACTGAACTAATTACGGAGCGAGCGAAGCGAGCGGAGTCTCATACTGAATTAAGGGAAAATCCTGAGTATGAGCGGCCGGCCGGCCGGCCGGCCGTGGGGACGCTCTTCAAAAGCTAATATCTTAGGAACGGGACATCCGATTGACAAGCGGTCTTCTTTACTGAATGTCACTTGGACGTAAAAGTTCTGTGGTGTGATGGCCACCATGCGTTCTTGCCAGCCACCGCACGTGGCGCGTGGTAAAGTTGGACATTTTTTAAGAACCCCCAAAATTGCAACCTCAATAACGGCACAACGGTTGGGCCGATTGAATTGAAACTCGGTACACAGTTAGGTCTCCATCAGATAATTCATCTGCATGTGTTAAGGTTGGGGTGCTACAGCACGTGCGCACGTGCAGGGGGCGCTCCCAGATCTCGAGAACGGCTGGGCCGATTGCGCTCAAATTTGGTGCACGGTTGGGGACCAGTTAGTAGGGTGCCGTGCAAAAGTCAGTTTGGACCCCGCTTGCACGTGCGCACGTGCAGTGTGCCGCTTCCAGATCTCGAGAACGGCTAGGCCGATTGCGCTGAAATTTGGCACATCACTAAAGACCGGTTAGTAGGGTGCAGTGCACAAGTTAGTTGGAGGTACCCCCTCGCAATTTCGCACGTGCAAGGCCCATCCTCTCGCTCGCTCCGTTGGTCGCCCAAAAGGCGTTTTACTGGTACTATATGTTCCATCAAGACACCGACTTCAATCCTTCGTCCATCGGCCCCGTTCCGGCACCCACTAACGCCTCCCCCTCCCCCTTCCCTCCAGTCCGCGTGACGAGTGGCAGTCAACTGACCCTCCACCCCGACTCCCTCGCCAGTCCGCGGGACAGGTTGCAGTCAACTGACCCCCCCCCCCCTCCCCTGCTAGTTCCCCTGACGAGTGGCAGTCAACTGACGCCCTTCCCCTGCCTCGTCAGTCCGCGTGACGAGTGGCAATCAACTGACGCCCCTACCCCCCCCCCCTCGCCAGTCCGCGTGACGAGTGGCAGTCAACTGACGCCCCCCCCCCCTCCCCCGCCGTCAGTCCGCGGGACAGGTTGCAGTCAACTGACCCCCCCTCCCCTCCCCTGCTAGTCCCCCCGACGAGTGGCAGTCAACTGACGCCCTTCCCCTGCCTCGTCAGTCCGCGAGACGAGTGGCAGTCAACTGTCCCCCCTGCTAGTCCCCCCGACGAGTGGCAGTCAACTGACGCCCCTACCCCCCCTCGCCAGTCTGTGGAACGAGTTACGGTCAACTGACCCCCCCCCCCCCCCCCCCCCTCCATCGCCATTCCACGAGACGAGTGGCAGTCAACTGACCCCCCCCCCCCCCGTTCATCGCCAGTCCGCGTGACGAGTGGCAGTCAACTGACCCCCCCCCCTCGCCAGTCTGCGGAACGAGTTACGGTCAACTGACGCCCCTCCCCCCCCCCTCGCCAGTCCGCGGGACGAGTGGCAGTCAGAGGAGCTGGTCTCGGAGCTGGTGCACAGTTTCGTGCTGCCGGAGGTGCAGCGCAAGGAGACGCGCGCGCGACTGCGGCGCCATCAGCAGCGCCACCTGGCGGCCGCGCGCGACACCGTGCTGGCAGAGCTGGGCGGCACCGGCTGGCCGCCGGTGGACGCCAGCACGGCCGAGCGGGCGCGCCTGGCCGCGCAGGCCGCCGACAGCGGCCGGAGGGACGCCCAGGTGCAGGCCGGCCGCAGCCAGCCGGCCGACGCCGAGTGAGGCGCGGGGGGAGCCGAGGGGAGCAGAGTTATCGATCGGACGGGGGTGGTCCGACGGACACCCCGCGACCAGCGCACGGGCGCGGGTGGGGAAGCCCGGGACGTCGGTGGCTGTAGGTCATCTAGTCAGCTTCGAGACGAACACCAAATATTCTAGTCACGTGTGAGGATCCATTTATTCTGTTGATCTGCTTGACACCGTATTACGTCCCGCTTACTACTGGAATGTGCTGTGTCGAGCATGCCTTTCCTTTTCCTTGTGATGTCTAGCGTCTAGCTTTCTCAGTCCCTTTATTCGTTAAGAGAATGAATGGTCTTTGCAACGATGGAATATTACTAAGTAGACTTTACTCGAGCGGAAAATGATGTTGATATGTGATCTCGTCCAGTGGCTGTCTCACAGTTTTGTATTAAATCTCCCATCTACGATACACACGTGTGACTAGCCTCTTATTACAACGCGCGACACTGCTGAGTCAGGTAAATCACCGTGCGATCAAGTATTGAAATCACCCACCAATAAAATATCACGTAGCATGTGATTGTTTGGGTGCAGGGCAGCAGCTGCCTCAAGCAGCCGCCTTTCAACTGGATACGGGCCACAACCTTTACTGCGCTCACGTAACGGGCCGTACCGAGATCCAGCGTTCAGCGCCGCTCGGCCCGCGGGCGCTGGATGATTTCAGCTCACACGGGGCCCGTGTGAGCCCAGCGCTCGGCCCGCGGGCGCTGAGGTCCGGTAGGACAGACGTTGGCACGTGGCACGTCGGACGGACGGGGGGCGCCGCGCCGCCGGGGGAGCGGAGACGAGCCGCAGGGTCGGGCTCGCGCGGCCGGCGCCCGCTCAGACCGAGATTAGCGAGTAGATCATCCTGCCAGGCGGGAGGCGCGGGGGTGTTAAGTGACGTGGAGAGAGCTTATTCAGCGAGTTTGGCTATCTAGAGACGGCAGTTAGCCAAGGTACACAGTTCAGGGCCGGGTTCGCGTAAACATACAGCCGCGCTGCACAACTGGCAGAGGTGGAATGGTAGAACGAGCGAAAAAAACACTTAGTATGTCAAAGGTCACCTAGCTAGTCTTCTCTCCAGCATCCATTTCGATAGAGCTCGGTAAAAAGCAGCCGGAATATACCTACTCAGGCCCCCGGGGAGACGAGCATGCAATAACATCTGCAAACGTACCAGCAGGGCAAACTAAAAACCAGTGCTGACCAACGATTATCGTGAACGAAAAACCAGCTGGGTTGAGGACATGTCAGCAGTGTCTTCATATCACTTAGGAAAAATCGCGGCGGGACCCTATAGATGCCTACCAGAAATAGCACATCGACCATCGCGTCCGCCGTGCGCGGCACTCACCCGTAGAGATAGTAGAAGAACGAGAGCAGGAAGAAGGCCAGCTTGATCCAGCCCTCGCGCTGACACTTGCTGAGCGTGTCTGCGTTCATGATACAGGTGGGGTCGTACAGGCCCGGGCCGCTCATCACGGGGCGCGTGCGGTACCTGTGGGGTCAGATTAGGTCAGGTCATTGGCCGGGGTGGGGACGCAATCGCATCACAACATTGTGTGAGGGTGTGGGTTGGAGGTCGCGGTCACGTCAGGTCACTGGTATGGATACGTCGATGTTTCGATAGATCACCGCTTCAGGTGGGTGCTGCACCAGTGGAGGGTGCTGCAGAGTCTAATCAGGTCACTAACCGGGGTATGTTGCGGTCACATCAGGTTAGGCATGGAATGTATCAAGTACGGCGTGGGTCGCGGTCACATCTAGTCAGGATCGAGGCCGTTGGGTAAATTAAAGAAGGCACTCAGTTGATATTAGCGCTGGCAGCATCAAGAAAATAGTTACTGTACCTAGTTGTATGATGATTGAAGGTAAACAAAATGTGTTTTCTAATGCACACACATGTAACTAAGCAAAGGAAGTACTTAAAAAATACAAGCAACACATGTCACACCAAAATATGGACTAATGACTCACCTGTTGATGTTGTAGGCAATCAAAGGCACATTGAGGATGACTGTGAACCACTCTCCGGCCACCAGGAACACAAAGTTGAACACCAGGTGTATGAAGTACTCGGGCAGCACCAGCTGAAATCAGTTCACAGGGTTTAATTATATGGTAATTGGTAACATCAATAAAATGCTCCCTAGTCAGTACATCTGAAATTAGACAGACATTCTTTATTAAATAATATGGCAGAAAATGACCATCAATATAAAAACACCATTAAGGGAAGCCTTCACATGTTATCAGTGCTGTAGCTCATGGTAAGATTGGGGACATGTTAACTGATTACCACCTAGTAATTAACCCTAGCCCGTATTGGTGTTTTATAAGGGGAGGGGGGGGGGGGGGTCCGTTGGACCTCCCTTGCCGTTTCGCCCCGGATCGAGCTAGAGCTTTGCGAAAAAAAAAACGAGCGTGTTGCCCGTGACGAGAGGAAGCCGATGATACCCAATTTTAAGGTCCTAGGTCATTGGTTGACCTTCCAGGGTCAGGTCAATGACTCAAAAGTCGGGAAAATCGGGACCTGTTGGAGCGTCGTAATGTGTGGCTGCTATGGGGTTTTTCGGGGTGTTGATCACAAATATCATGTTAGTTTTGATCACAGATGTCTTCATGCATTTAGGCCAGGTCGGGTCAGGTCAGGTCATCCAGTAGGGGTCCTGCCGGGTATTCATAGTAGGTGTAAACCGCCTCTGACAGCTTTGTAACATGTTACAAAGGCACCAAAACAACTTCGTAAATGTTCATATGGTTGCTAAATTCGAATTCAGCTCCAAAAACTGGCCTAGTAACATGTAAAACTCGAAAAAGTGAACCGAGGTCATCATTCAAAGGTGAATGACCTGACCTGACCTTCAGGTGACCTTGACACCCACCCTCATGCATGGGGGCAACATCAAATCACATGTTTGAACGCTTGAAACCACGAAAAGACTGCAAAAGCGCGGCTAATGCGAGCCGACATACGCCGAATCGCGATTCCGGCCAAACATGGTCTCGAAAAGTAGGTCACCGGTCAAAGGTCATTTTGAGCAGGGTCATGAAATTTTCAGAGTAGGCATGGGCGTAACTTCGTATGTGGTTGGTGTGGAGAGCTCCACACCAACTTGAAAGCTGATGTGGATTTTCCACACCAACTTTAAGTGATAACACTTCTCATGCACTTTTCGTAAAGTAAAAAAACGCAATATATGATTAAAGGCCAGAAGAAATCAGTATGGGTTCTCCATAGTCCAGAAAGGCGGATAATTGGGGTGGGGGTATGGGAGTGCTCGAGCACCCACTGAGCCAAAAAAAAAATGCATCCCTCACTGGCAGAAGCACCCCAAAATATGCAAGTTTACAGAAAAAAATCATATTTAGTTTCAGAAAAATATCCAAAGAGCATGTCATTTTTAATCAGCAGTAAGCAAGAACTGTATGAAGCATTTAATGGAAGCATGCACCCACTAGATATCACAGTTACACAATTTATGCATGATGAAAATGATTATTATTGTTCAAGCCTTTATCATTGTCCAACTGCCCTGGTTCTTTTTGTTAAGAATTATGCCTCAAGATGCTGGTTTTTTACCTGCTCTGGTATCAACCCCAGCCTGACAAACAGCAGTATTCGACGAGTTGTGGGGAATGAGCTAGCAATTTTTTTTTAGCAAACCTCACAGTCAGTAGGGCACAATTACCTTCTCCATGTGCTTTGGCTCTACGATATACCTACTACTATGGACTCATGAGACAATTTTTTTTTTAAAATAAGAATGATGTATTGTTGACTTAAAGGCTAAAGCACATGTGTATACGTGCTCTGCGCCATAATCGTTGCAATAGCACAGTGATACCTGATTTGTTGTTCCCGCCATATGAAAGTTTTTCCTTCGTCAGGAAAAGACCATTTTCATGCATTTGGTATTTTGTATTTTTTTTGTTAAAGCTGGCAGTGGCTTCATTTCAACTTTATTTACTTACCAATTTGTTATATATTACATTTTAAAAGTGAATAATTTTTATTTAGAAAATATTGGTGTCTGAACATTGCAGAAACGTGCACGTTCGTCAATCTAGCAGTGGATTGATATTCGCGAGTCTGCTGCTGGTAGACACAAGACAAGCATTCACGCAAGGCCCTGTATACCCATTCACGGTTTCCGAATGTGCTGCTTTTGGCATGAAATAAAAGCTTGCCTATTCTAAGCCCAGACCAGGTGGGTGACAGCACGTGATCGCCTGAGGCGGTGGGGGGTAGAAATATTTTCGTCATTTAATGCTCAATGCAATCCCTGCGACTTTTTTCAAGACCTTCTCCTCGTCGTTGTTTCTTGCGTAACTTCCCCCTACCCCGACCAGGGCCTCGGCCTGTCGGGAGCAAAATTCAAAATTCAAAAAAAAAATCAACGACTGGTCCCCGAGTGATGACTATCCTCACGCCAGATACGATGAATGGAGCTAGCAATTAAGCCCAAAAAAGATATCGAAAATAATACAAAACACTTCTTTTGAAGGAGATGAATTGAATGGTTTTGGAGCCTCACGAAATATGTTTCAGATATGACGCGTCACACAAACTGACGCATAAAGACTGTGTTCAAAAGCGTGACATTCTTGTTTCAGATCTGGCGAGGGACAGACGTGCAAGAATATTCGCCTCGTGCCACGTGGCAGTGGAAGACATTTTGTTTTTTGTTTTTTGTACTTACCACTTGGTTATTTTCCGAGTATCCTTTGATATTACTGATTTGGTGTCAAGCTTTTATCGCTTTCGAAGAGGAGGTTATGCTCCAGGATGGGGCCTGGGCCGGATTTACGGCCCGGAAAACGAGTGAGGTCTGATGAGACGTTCTTTGACAGAGATGAGACTAGTCAGGGCTCGTACTTGAGGATAAGCCTAACGTCTGACAAAACCCTTAAATCTCGAGGCTGGCCATGGGTGCAGATGGGGATCCGTGGAGTCCTGGGAAACAGTGACAAACTGGAGAAAGCAAACTTTCTGAGCGATGGTTCCCTTCTGGTCAAAACAAAGAATGAGACCCAAACAGACAAACTTCTGAAAACTCAACAACTTGCTGGTGAGACTTGTGAGGTAGTAAAGGACAGGAGGCTCAACTCTTCCCGAGGCACAATCCGTGCCTATGACCTGGAGGACCTGAGCGAGGACGAGATTGTCGGCTGGTTGAGTGACCATGGCGTCACTGGTGCCAAGAGATTCACTCGTAAGGTCAATGGTAAAGTAGTACCTACAGCGACTCTACTCCTGACTTTTGATAAGCCGACGTGCCCCTCTAAAATGAAACTGGATTATGTGACATACCACGTTACCAGACATGTGCCTAACCCTCTCCAGTGCTATCAGTGTGGCCTTTTTGGCCACACAGCTGAGAGATGCACAAAAAACAAAGTGTGCCTGAGATGTGGACTGGTACCCCATGAGGGTGGCTGTGCTCCCCACTGTGTTAACTGCGGGAAGGAACACTCCTGCCAGGATCATGTGTGTGATCGGTGGATGAAGGAGAAAGAGATCTGTCGGATCAAGGTGGAGGAGGAGATCTCTTTCTCTGCTGCGCGAAAACTCTATGATGACAGGCATGAGCCTCCCCCATTACTTCGGTCATATGCCAACACAGTCCGTACCCCCAGTGCTGCCAATGATGATGAGCTAAAGGAAAAAGTGACAAAGTTAGAGTCAAAGATGAGTGAAATGGTGGCACTGCTGGAAAGACTGCTGACGCAACGTTCAACCAGTAGTACCTGCCAGATCAGTGGTAGTGACGGCTCTACTCTGGGTGGACGGCTAAGTGGAAAAGATGGTGATGGTCAGGAGTCGCAAAACACAATGGAGGCCCTCAGTATGCACAACAGACAAAGTGACGAGGATGACATGGACGATTTGACTCAGGCCCTGGACGCTTCTCTCCCTACTGAGGTTGAGGGAAACAAAAGAAAACCCACTCAGCCCAGCAACAGTGCTCCATCCCATGGTTCCACAGCCCCGCAAGGGAGCAGTGGCACTGGAGACGATGCTGGGCCATTTAAGCCTGCAAAGAAAGACAAAAGCAACAAAGGAGGAAACAAAAACAAACAAAAACAGCTCATGCTTTCAGATGAGATCTCCCCATCACCCCCTATACTCAGGCCTACCAAACCCAATGATAGGACAGGAGTGAGCAGAGACAGATCCACATCTCTGTCACGGAAGTCGTGGTCGGATCCGCCCAAGTCTGCACAGGGAACGTAGACAGCACACCTGTGTGTGATCATACCCTAACTTAAAAACAAAAAAAAAACACAAAAAAAAAACAAAAAAAACAACAACAACAAAAAACAAAAAAAAAGAAACTAACAAGGTACTAACAATGGCATGGAATGTTATGCAATGGAATTGTCGAGGCTTAATTTCTAAATGGGCTGAAGTTAAACCTCTTCTTATTGAGAAAGCGTGTGAAGTGATTTGTCTTCAAGAGACTCATTTCCTCTCCACAGATGAATATGATTTTTGTATTCCCAACTTTACTCTGTATAACGGATACTCACCTTCCAACAGTCGTTGTGGTGGTGTATGTATCTATGTTGGCAATTCTTTTCCACATTATGAGGTCCCTTTAACTACAGCACTGCAAGCTATTGCGTGTTGTGTGAAAGTGGGTCGCCAACGTATATGTGTTTGTTCCTTGTACTTACCTCCTAACCCACAGGTTACAACTACTGAGATTGACAATCTCGTAGGGCAATTACCCGAGCCTTTTATTATTTGCACTGATGCTAATGCGAGACATTATATGTGGGGATCGGATCGCTGTGATGCCAGAGGGAATTCAATTGAAAGTATCATAAGGAACAATGCTCTGACCCTCCTGAATGATGGCTGTCCCACACGCATGGACGAGTATACGGGACTCTGGTCACACATTGATATTACTATCACCAGCAGTGAAATAGGACAATATATGGAGTGGAGGACTGATTCAGATCTTCATGCCAGTGACCATTGTCCCATATATGCTTCCTATGATGGACAATTACAATCTGCGTTTATTGAGCCTGGGCGGGACATATTTGCAGGATGGAACTTAAATAAGGCCAAGTGGTG